CTTTTATTTCGAGTTCGAGTAAGCACTCACTCGACTATTACACCTGTGGGCTACATTGCATCGAGCTCGAATCATTCACTCAACTGCTAAGCCTACGGGCTACTTTTATTTCGAGTTCGAGCAAGCACTCACTCGACCACTAAGCCTACGGGCTACTTTTATTTCGAGTTCGAGCAAGCACTCACTCGACCATTATGCCTATGGGCTACATTGCATCAAGTTCGAATCTTTCACTTGACTTCTAAGCCTACGAGCTGCTTTTATTTTGAGTTCGAGCAAGCACTCACTCGACCACTAAGCCTACGGGCTACTTTTATTTTGAGTTCGAGCAAGCACTCACTTGACCATTATGCCTACGGGCTACATTACATCGAGTTCGAATTATTCACTCGACTGCTAAGCCTACGAGCTACTTTTATTTTGAGTTCGAGCAAGCACTCACTCGACCACTAAGCCTACGGGCTACTTTTATTTTGAGTTCGAGCAAGCACTCACTCGACCACTAAGCCTACGGGCTACTTCGACCATTACGCCTACAGGCTGCCTTGCATCGAGTTCAAATCATTCACTCGACTACTAAGCCTGCGGGCTACTTTTATTTCGATTTCGAGCAAAACTACTCATTTCTTTGAATTAAAACGAACACTTGACTGTTTAAGCTAAAGGATGTTCGAGCCCGGTAAAGCAAATGGGACTACCCACAAGGCCCGAAGGCAACCGAGATTTAAATTTAAACTACATATTTAGTTTGAAAGGCTATTTTTCTTCAAAAAAAAAGAAAGATTCATATTTACAATTTTTTTTTACAGAGGCGGCTACTCTTCCAAAAGGAAGTTCTTTATACAAAAACCGAAAGCGGTATCAAAAGAACACAGCGATCGACCTAAGGCCCTAAATGACTCAATCTTCATCGGAGGCCGTATTCTCGGCATCGTCCTCATCTTCAGACTCCCCCAAATAATCGGAGTCTTCCTCAAGAAAGGCCAACCTCCGAGCTTTGTTCTCCTCTGCCCTGGCAACTTCAATCTCGGCCCCAACATCGAAGCCCCGAGCTCTGACCTCCTCGAGAGCCTCTCTCCGAGCCTGCCACTTTGCGTGTTCAACCATGCTCGCAGCTTTGGCTTGGTTAACCTCGACATCGATCCCGAACTGAGCCACTTTGGCATCGGCTCTTTTGTTGGCCTCGTTCACTTTAGATCTGGCCATTTCGGGTTCTTTGGCTAAATCTGCTTTTATCTAAAGTGGCCAAATCCAACCGATGCTGAAGCTCTTTCATCTTTTCGATCAGCCCCAAAGCATTTTCTTTTGCAGATCGAAGTTGGGCATCGGACAGCTCCAATTGAGCTTCGACGGTTTCCTTTTTTGAGGCAAGGTTATCCATACACCTTTTAAATTCTTCTGCCTCGACCAGTAGCGCATCTACCTGTGAGTTAAGCCGTCCAATCTGCTCGATCCTCTGCCGAACTTGCAGAATCGGATCATTAGTGGTTATCTCTTTTTCATCTTCACTATCATGGAACATTCAGAATACCTGCTCAGCAATCTCCTCATACTCTTCCCGAGCCGCTGTCAAATTTGCTAGAAGTTTTTCACTAAGAAGCTTGTACGAGTCACTCTTCTTAGTGAGGTTCCGAACCTCGGCATCATGCTCCTCCCTGATTCAAAGAAAGGCCTCGTGATGCAACACCGAAGCCTGCAAACAAAAGGAGAAACGTTAGAATTACCTGCAACTCTGTGTAAAAGAAGCGGCGAAAAAGCCATCAGAGTTACCCGATTCAAAGCATGTTGGGCCTCGTTGAAAATACAGGCAGACCCCACCGCATTCATCACTGATTGATCTTCTTTGGTCACCAAGGACCGAAGGTAACTGGCAATCCCCACAGGGGAAGAAAAAATTCGGGTATCCGCAGGAATGGAGAGCACTATCTTCCGCCTTCGGTCGGGATCGATACTCGGGGCCGGAAATCGGTCCACCAGTTTATGAATCGATGAAGGCTCGGTGGAACCCGACCACGATGTTTTTTTGGGTACCTGCATTCCACCGAAATCGGTAACCTCCTCCGAGGCACCTGATTCGAGCCCCTCTAGAAAACCATGGATATCAGCCGACTCCTAAATACCCTCATACGACCGATCCTCCAACATGATGGCCTCTCGAATCATGGCATCCGAAATTTGAGGGGATCCGCCAATGTCAACTATCCTGAATTCATCCCTTGAAATATCTGCTACTGCCTGAGAGGATCCACCCTCGGTATCCCTTTCAATCATCTTAGCTCGAGAAGAGATAATCTCGGCTTCTTGTTGTTCTGGGATTATGGCCAAGGTTCCCTAATTTGCTTCTACCAAATTGGAAGACTGTTGAATCACAATATTAGCCCGTACGCAGGCTAAATTCTCCTCTCCTTCTTCGGGCTGGTCCCTTGAATGGCGGACAGCTTCCGAAGATATAACACCAGAGCCCTCCTTCGGCTTTCGAGATCTCTTAGCCGGTTTCTTCTTTTCTGAGCTCGGGGAGATCGATACGTCTTTTCTCTTCCTTTCTTTCACCTGCTTCAGGACATGAACTTCTTTGCCACCAGATGGTGGCCTCATGACTACATCTTTCCCAAGTCCTACAAAAGGGAAGAGGGAGATTTACCATACAAACAGATGAAGAGACAAGTCGACAAAAAGATTTACCATGGCTGCTGGCCTCCCATCGACCCTTTGATAATTCGATCCAAGCATGCTTGGAGTACGGTCTTTGCAACACCAGGCTTTCGACCCATTGTCTAAGATCCGGGATCGGTTATGGCATTCGAGCTACGGTTGTGATAAGGAAGAATGGATCAACAAAATAGAAAGCAATCACAGAACCAAAACGGACAAAGAGAAACATTTACTCACGGCTCATTCCATTTCTCGGGAAATGGCAAGTCATCGACATGGATCAGATCCGAGGTTTTGATTCGAACAAAATGGCCCATCCAACCCCGATCCCGGGTCTCGTCTATGCTCGAGAATGGCGCTTTGGTTGCTCGGCAAGAAAGCTTGGTCAACCCTCCTCGATAAAGTTGGGGACTGTAAAGATGCATAAGATGATCGAGGGTGAAGATACGCCCCTCGACCTTGCTCGAGAAAAATCGAAGAAGAATCACTATCCGCCAAAAGGAAGGGTGGATTTGGCCGAGGGTCACATCGTACCTCTTACAAAAGGCAACGATGACAGGGTCTAGGGGTCCCAACGTGAAAGGATAAGTATAAAAGCTTAAGAACCCTTCGACGTAGGTAGTAATTGATTCATCGGGCGACGGGATTACTATGAGTTTATTATCCAGTTGCATTCTTGTATGACTTTATCGAGAACTTTTTCGGTGATTGAACATTGGTACCTCGACATCGGCTCACACCGACCCTGTCTCGGAGAAGGCTTTTCAATTTTAAAATCGCCTACGGTCAAACACCCAACCGGAACGAATTCCTCAGGGCGGGGCTCTTCCCCATCCTGGCCACCAGTAGGTCGAGATGAAGAAGCAGTCTCTTTTTTCGGAACAGTTTTAGACGTTTTTGCCATTTAAGATTTCGTAAACAAAGAACAGAAGTATTTGGTGTTCTAAGGAAGAGTTTGTAGTAAAACTCACAGGTTTACAGGCAGAAAACTCAGAGAAGATGAAAATGAACTTGAAAAATTTGGAAGATTGAAGACGTAAAAATAATGAATGGTGGAAGGAAAGGCTATTTATAGATTGGAGCAATGACGGTTCAATATCAGAGGTGGCTAACCACCATCTGACACATTAAATGACTCGGTAAAACCGAACCGATGGGACAGCTATCACATACGCCAGGGTTGGGATCGATGAAAACGTCAGTATATATCTGATCGAGCTGTTGGAAAATCATATCGTTTCTCGTCACATCCTTTTCCGAGAAACGAGGGGACTATCTGTGTACGGTCAAAATCGATTTGAGTCAGTCGTACGGACTGGTCGAGACGATAATATTTCGATCAAAGGATATCTGCATGACAAGCTCGGTCAAGGTCCGAAGTAAGGGCGGCGAGCTTCGAGCTCTAAGATCGATCAATGACAAGCTCGATATCATTATCGAGCTCATATCCAAATCGAACTACGAGGCAAAGCGGGGATTATCGAAGATGCATGGACCGACCAACACTCACCCTGAATACCGAGACCCCAAGTCAGAATCGAGCTCGGACCAAGGCCGAGGGCTCGATCCAGTATCGAGCTCGAGCCAGTATCGAGCTCGCAGACTAGGGCCGTTGCAACCGCACTATGGGAGAGAATGTTGACAGAAATCGAGGAAAAGACAATACATCATGGGCTTTTCACTACGTATTTTTTATTGTATATAAAGTAGGATCCCTCTACTATAAGAGAGACATGGATTGTAAGCAAGGCGGGCACACTGTAACAAAAGATCACTTCTCATATTGAAAGATATCCCCTTATGCTTGTTTTACTTTATCTTATTCATTCTTTCTGCTCGTTATTCTCATTCTCATAGTCAAGAATACACTTATTTCTATTTCTTTACACGATTTATATCAAATTGTATCGCGTATCCTTAGAACCATACACAAATCTAACGATATCCGATTTTTCGGGTAAACAGGATCTTTTCGAGAACTATATGTATAATTAATACTCGGCTATTCCAATTTATATGCCACTATTATTATTTGAGAGTAAAATAACTTTTTTTTTTAAAAAACTATGGTTTATTATAATTATTTAATTAAAAAAATGTAATTTATAGTAGTTGTAATTACAATATTTGAACATACCTTTTCATTCCCTTTGAAATAGAGGGAGTATTTTTTAAGAATATTTATTTATGTTCTTTATTTGGTCGAAAAAGCTAGTGTATTTATGTACACATTTTACATAAGAAAATCTTTTTCACAATTATATACAACTTTTTTCACGTTATATAAATTGGTCTGCGTTTACCCCATTAAGGAACAAGAATTTGACAAAATTATACGTAGAAACATGTTTGTGATACCAAATTCTTTTTGCTAATATAAAAAGATAGACTGAGTGGAGGATAAAAGTAGTTTCAACTTTCAAGTAAGGACCCTCCCTCGGCTAGAAAGTTGCTCCATTTTTATCAATTTCGACAGTCAGAAATCGAACTGTAAGTTCCCTCTTCGTCCCTTTCTGGACACAAAAATCACTAATGTCTTTACCCAATGAATTTGTCTACCTGTTATTCATTGCGGAACCAGTGGCCGATTGGCGTATTTAGAATTTAGGCGTTGTGATTCTGAGCTGAGTGTGATTTTTGAAATGCATATCTAATTCTGTATACATTTCTATTTTTCGCACATATATACAGAGTTTTGACCCTAGGCACTAGACCAATGGTTGGCTCCGCTACTGACGGAACCCTCAATTTTGTGTAAATTAACTGTAAAAGGGATTTAAGTTGGACGTTTGCTAGTTACTCGCAAAGCTCAGCATATTCCAAAAATGTCGCAGCATTTTGGCCTTGCCTTTGCTCTGTTTGATAAAGTGTGTGAATGGGAGCTGCAGTTAGAAATTTTATTACTCCCTGCTGCATCCCTATATTCCATTTTATGTGGGACTATTTCTGATTTAGTATGTTTCAACACTTTTCTCTATTTGGAAACAATTTAACTTCAAAATTTTCATTTTATCCTTGATAGCATGTTTGTCATAGAAATGTTGTAGCATGTTTAAAACCACAAGTTTCAAAAGTCTATCTTTCTTTGTTAAACTGCGTGTCTCGTCAAATACTACCATAAAAATTGAAACGGAGGGGCTCGCAAAGCTTGGCAACACTTTTGAACTTAGCCCACAGATTTCATTTTACTTCTGAAGTTAATCGAAACAAAAAGGATGTAATCTGTCCTGGTGGCAGAATAACCTATTGGGGCTAACTTCATCACTTTGCTGGAGAATTTTGCATTTGTTACCTGTTAAGATTGTGTGGATATAGCAAGAAAGAATACATATTTCGTTTACAATTTACAGTTCTTTAATAGCAATGGCTCTCTAACCATTTTTAGTTGCAGTGAGCATACTTCCTGCAAAAGAGCATGCAGATGCGACAAAAGCTTCTTTTTAGATCCAGTCCAGCTATATGCCCTCATGGTGTGTGGGATCTTGCCCCTGTTTATCTGAAGCATCACGTTGATCCAATCAAACGCAAGATGCTACCTACATCAATTAAGCTTTTATTGCAAAGTAGAGCTAAAAGATGTGGCTTTTCAGTTAATTGTCTTTTTGGAACCATTGACTACTCGAGTAATGAGCAGCAGACTTTTCATATAAATGGTGAGGAGATTTCTTATGATTTATACAATGCATCCATTTGTGAGTTGTGTAGTGAAGGTGACGTTGATAAGGCAATGGGGTTGCTTTCCCAGATGGAGGCTTTGGGTTTTCATGCAAATTATTTGTCTTATACTAGTTTGATCGCTGCTCTTGGAAGTGTTGGCAGGACCTTGGAAGCTGATGCAATCTTTCATGAAATGTTATCTTCTGGTCGCAGGCCAGGGGTAAAGGTGTTCAATGCGTTACTTAGGAGCTTCCTGCGAAAAGGCCTCTTAAGGCTAGCAGATAAGGTCTTGATGTTACTTGAAGATTTGGATGTTGAGAGAAACCAAGAAACTTATGAGATCTTGCTTGAGTATTATGTCAATGCTGGGCGGTTGGAGGATACTTGGTTGATTGTCTCCAAAATGAGGAGAGAAAGTTATCGTTTAAATTCTTTTGTGTATAGTAAAATAACTGAACTGTATAGGGACAATGGGATGTGGAAAAAAGCACTAGGCATTGTGGAAGAGATCCGTGAGATGGGGTTACGATTGGATAAGCGTCTCTTTAATAGCATCATTGATACTTTTGGCAAGTATGGTGAGTTGGGAGAGGCCTTAGAAGTGTTTGAAAAAATGCGCCGAGATGGCATAAAGCCTGATTTTCGAACATGGAATTCTTTGATCCGGTGGCATTGCAAGTTTGGGCATCTTGATACTGCTATAGATTTGTTCGATGAGATGCAAGAACAAGGACTATACCCTGATCCAAAGATCTTCATTATCATTATTACCCATTTAGTGGAGCAGGGTAGGTGGGATGTTATCAATAAAATTCTCAAGAATATGCAAGGGAGAGGACATCACAAGAGTGGGGCTATTTACGCTGTCTTGGTTGATATTTATGGCCAGCAGGGTAGATTTCAGGATGCAGAGTATTGTTTAAATGCTCTGAAATTGGAAGGTCTTCAGCTTTCACCTAGCATCTTTTGTGTCCTGGCCCATGCCTACGCTCAGCAGGTGACGTGTTGTGCTGTTCCTTCTTGAAGGAGAATGATTTTCTTTTATCTTTTACAATAGAAAGGTGTAGACTAAGTTTGCTTGTATATCTAAACATAAAATAGTTAATGATTATCTGAAAATATGTGCACTAGCTGAGTAGGTCGTAGCAACCTCAATATGTTTCTTCTTTTNGAGATTTGGTGCGCAGGTAAGTAGTCCTCTGATTGAAAGTCCATCTCTCAGGATTGGCATGTGCATGTCTTACATGCTCCTAGTCTTTAAATTGGATTAAATTCGTAGCATTTGACCATTTTAGGTTCTCTTCGCAACTAAAGAAAGATGTTAGTTCGAAGCATATTTGAATAGTTGGCTGCAAAAAGATATTAAAACATATTTTGTTCTAGAAAGAAGGTAAGGGAACTACGGTCTTCCAAATATTCGATCCAAGTTTTTTAATTGATTGCTAATTTAGTTCCTTATTGTTTTGTTGTCGGGTGAAGAAATGGGAGAAATATTTGGTGGACAGATTATCCCCTGATCCCCTCTTATCTATTTTTTGGTTGAGATACAACATAGGTTGTAAGAGAACATTGATATAAATTATCCTGCAGGAAAAAATTGATTTTGGGATGCATTACATTTATGGTATGAGGAATGACTCTGGGAGTGTCTTCAAATTGCAAATTCTTTCATTGAGATGTGAATATTTCCAACGTGGGGTCAGTGGCATGACTTAAATCTGCCACTTTATACAACGGTAGTGCAAATCTTGGATTAGATAACTTTGGAAAGAGTTTTTGAGTCGAGTTGAGACTTAAACATCGGCCTTCCATTTACTTTGTCTTAATTTCTGGCATGGCTTATATTCTTGGTCTCCTTATATTTGAGGTCTCTCTTTACATTTTTCAGTCTACGCCGTGGGAATACACTTGGTATGTTGTTATTGTTGTTGTTGTTGTTGTTGTATCTATTTCAATTAATGTTTCCTTCACCTGCATATTACCATTTTTAAGATAGTATCTTAAGCAGCTTTGAGGAGATTCCATCCTTTTTGATATTCTTGCCTTGTGTGCAGGGATTATGTGAGCAGACTGTAAAGGTTCTGCAGATAATGGAAGCCGAAGGAATGGAACCAAACCTTATAATGCTAAATGTGTTGATCAATGCTTTCGGGACTGCTGGTAGGCATATGGAGGCACTATCAATTTACCAGCACATAAGGGAGATGGTAAGTCCTTAAACATTTCCAACTTTTCCTCAGGCATATTTCCTGAGATAAACTTTGCTGATAGTGGTGCTGCTATTTTTCTAGGGTATTACTCCTGATGTGGTTACTTATAGTACTTTAATGAAGGCTTTTATGAGGGCTAAGAAGTTCGATCAGGTAAAAAGATAAATGATTTGATTTCTTTTCTGGCTTCAGTGAGAAAAGGGAGTAGAAATCATGGAAATTATATTGTGACTGGACTTTTTCTATATTTAGCAGCATTTATCTGGCTCTAATTTGTTGTTGCTTGTTAGGTCCCCAAGATATATAGTGAAATGGAATCCGCTGGATGTACGCCAGATAGAAAGGCTAGAGAAGTGTTACAATCAGCATTGATGATCCTTGAACAGAGACATTGTTAGTTAACATACAACTTGTTAGCCTATTCGGCTCTAATAATGCTGTTGTTAGCTTCTTCATTCAGAAGATGACGTACAGCACCAAAAACTAAAAGCACTTTTTATGCTACTCACTGTTATCTACAATCTTTGAGGACTTCGATACTCAAGTAAGATAATGTCCTTGATCTTCATAGTAATTATTTCTAAATTTTGCTTTCTTTTGGTCTCGCTACTCATTCTTCATCTGTTCTAAATCTTTAGCCTTGTCGATTTCACGGCTTTCTAACTTGTTTGTGCAGCTTATTGCTGTACCACTTCTTGATGCCTTATTTAGGGAGGATTATTTAACAGTTGCAGTTACGTATCTTCCTGAAATGAAGTTACGGCTGAGCAGCTTGTCATTTCTGAGGTTTGTGAATATGGATTTCAATCTGTTCTGGTTTATATTCACATATGGTATCATACTTATCAACCCGTGGTCACATTTGTGTGCAAGTCTGCCCAAGTTTTGTGCACAAGGGAAGCCATTGGAGTAATATTTAGCCTTAAAATTTCACTGGAGTTGCTTTAGAAGTATTGTTCTATTTACTGAGTTAGAGATCAAACGTGCAATACAAACTTGTGCATGGAATTCCATCCTTTTCTTGATTGGAGCATACCGTAGTTTAGGACCGCAGGTATACCCTGGTTTCTCTCTAAGGCACCATATATGTTTATCCACTTCATTATAGGCTTCATTCAAATTATATCTGCCATTATTTCGATCTGTGCTTAACCCCCTTTTTCCTATGGAATCTTCAGGTTTCATTAAATGACAGCCAGCCTGTGCCTGTTAAAAGAACTAACTGGTACTAGCAAGTATACTCGGTAACAGCAAGGTGTCCTGGGCACCTTCACTTATCTTCTTCTGCCGTTCAAGTGGTAAAATAAAGGTGAAATTAGTATGTTGTGTCTATTGCATGCAACCATTATTATTATTCCCTTGTTTCCTTGGCAACCATTCTTTTCTCCAGATGTACTTCTGTTCTTCTGCATTATTGTTGTATCAACAGGGTAAGAAATGGTTCACCTTGATGTTCCTAGTCACAAGATCAGACTCTGCATGTTTCTTGAATAACTTGATGCTGCAGAGATTGTATTTGCTTACTGATAATGTAATAAATTTAACTTATATATGCTGATAGTGTTCTAACTTGTTATAACAGATTGTTTACTTTATTTATATATTACCAAATTAGGCTTAATATGGAGATTTACGTGTTGTAGATTATTTTACCCTGATGGTATAAAAAAGTTGCACATTGTTAACGCAATTTATAGCTTGATTAACTTCTATGCTTATATAGTGAAGGGAACAAAAGTAGCAACTTTTAAGGCTAAACAGTACTATTGTGGGTGTAGTTGTTCGAGTCCGGAACCAAAATGTGGTTTTTTTGGACTCAAAGAACCAAAATGTGAAAAAAACACAGTCATCAAAATATATATAAACGCCATTTTAAATGGCGCTATATATATAACGCCTTTTCTTACCGCACTATACATATTATGTGGGCTCACCAATAATTTTTCTGGGCTTAACTGACATAACAATAATTCAACTGGGTATAGCGCCCTTATTTAAAGCGCTATACTTAAAAACAATTGTACCCCGAATTATTTTTTGCCTTATTTAAAGAGGTTAAAGATTTTCTAAAAATTCATTCACAAATATTCTCAAGTCTTCTGAAATATTTCTTCGTTAAGTTGTTTTGCATTTTGTCATAATGTCTGAAGAGCGAAGAATAATGGTTTCATTATATTGGGGGGTGGGTGGGTGAGGTTGTGGTGACGAATAACTCGGTAACCTATAGTTTATCTCCACAGTGTTATGTTAAGTTGCCACTTACAATGGAGTACGATACATTGGTATTGTTGTTATGTAAAAAAAATGAGTGTGAGCAAACGTTCGGTGAACCTTAAAGTAATCGGAAGATATCCATATTTTGTCACTCCGCAAGGGGTTGCTTGTTATGCTGAGTTTAACATCGAGGACGATGAAACTCTGAGAGATTTTTTGAGGACTCCGGATGAATACCAGGAATTTCTTGTGATAAAAATGTTGGAAATGTACGTCAAGGTTGAAGACGTTCGTAATAATGAGGTTGCGCAAAGCAGGGATATCCCTAAGTCATCGGGTGGTTATTTTGGAGCAGTTTTAGCCGAACAAGTTCCGGCTGAAAGAGTTTGGCCTGATCTAAACTTATCTCCACCGGCGAATAAGGAGCGAGGAAATAATCTCTCTTAGTTTACATAATCCACAAGACGAGTGGTAAACTTCAATTTTTCTTTGTGTTACGATGTTTATTTTTGTTGTATTGAATTTGTATTAGCACTCATATATTCCATAGGGGTTACCAGCCAGATATGAATTTTACAAGTTATGAACCAACGCCTAGTTGGAATATGCCTAGTTCTGGTGTGTTGGATCATGGTGGTCCATCCGGGAGTCATCACCAACAGGATAATGTCCATCATGGGATGTCAACACATTACGATTTGTAAGTGAAGTGATATAGTTATATGTCAAGTATTTGTCAATTTGAGCAACTCATTATTTTGTTGGTTGTGCAGTGAAAACGAGCGTCCTGAAGGTCCTGTCCTTACTCAATTGCCCGAAGATAACATATTTAATCGGGATCTGGCAGATGCACAGAGTCAGGAAGAGAATAGTGATTATGACAACAATGTTGATGAGTCTGGAGATGACACACCCTTCCGTGATGAGGGTGATGAGGAGGAGGAAGAGAATGTTGGACCTGATTTGACGAGGGAGCATGCTCCACCCCCCGTTAGACCAAGAGTGTACGAGTCCCACGTGTCGTTTCATTCAAGGGAGATTTCATACCTTGATCATTTGCCAAGCATGCCGGATGTGGATGCCCTCACAAGGGATATTGACAAAATTCGGACAACAATGTGAGATGAATCTAGAGCAACGGTGCTGTCAAAGGGCATGCTTTTTCGCGATAAAGCGCGCCTAACCAAGGCGGTGCTAATGTACAGCGTAAAAGAGTGTCGTGAGATTACGGTACGCGAGTCATCTCTAGATGTATATAAGGTAGTCTGCCGTAGATGGTTTACGGGTTGTAATTGGATGCTGCGTGCGAGGAAGAAGAAAACAAATATGTGGGTTATGGGTAAATACATTGGCACCTACAATTGTGAAATGTACACATTCAATGGGAATAATTTTAACTTGAATGTTGACTTGATTTCTCTTGTGTTGATTCCACACATTGAAGCGTCCATAAGGTACAAGATCAAAGAGTGAAACATCCGTCCACCAGGAATATGGGTGCACCATTACCAAAAGAAAGGCATTTCTCGGGCGCAAACGTGCGTTTGAAATTGTTTATGGTAACTGGGATAAGTCCTTTGCATCTCTACCCAAGTACATGGCTGCATTGCAACACTTTAACCCCGGGACTGTTGTTGAATGAAAGCTTGAGTGGAGTCCGGGAATACCAGAACATATATTCAAATATGTGTTCTGGGTATTTAAACCAGCAATTTATGGTTTTCTGCATTGTCGGTCGGTAATATCCATAGACGACACTCATGTCTATGGAAAGTATGATATTAAGTTGTTGATCGCCGTTGCAGTAGATGCTAATGGAAGTATATTTCCCTTAGCTTTTGTTATTTGTGCCAATGAAAGCCAAGACACGTGGACACTATTTTTGAACCACTTGAAAGAGCATGTTATCAAACATCGTTTAGGTATTTGTCTAATATCTAATCGGCATGGTGGTATTTTAAGTTATGTACAAAATTTGCGTGCATAGCAGGAACCGTATGCCTACCACCGATATTGTGTGAGGCACCTGAAGGCCATTTTTCAGAAGGTATATCCCAACAAGGATTTGCATGATTTAATGTGGATGGCTGCAACAGATCACCAAGAGTGTAAATTCAGGAGGCGCATGGAATCTATCAAGCAGGAAGCCGAGGGAGCCTATCGTTGGTTGATGCGATATGAGCTTGACAAGTGGACTTTGCATGCGGATGGTGGCAGAAGATGGGGAATTTTGACTACAAATGTGTCAGAGTCTTTCAACGGGTTATTGAAGTCTGCACGTGGATTGCATGTCACTGCCATGGTGCGGATGTCATTCAAGCAGATGGCGGAGAGGTTTGTTGAAATGGCTAGAGGTGCATCGTCATTGATGGAAATGGGTGTTGAATTTATGCCAATACCAATGAAAAGAATTGAGAAATACAGGCGGCGAGAACATTGGCATTCATATTTACAGTATTGCAATGAGCGAAATATTTTTGAAGTTCGCACCGCTATCCATCAAAATTGGAGAAATAATGCACACACCGTAAATGAAGCCAGAAGGTTATGTTCTTGCGGGAAATGGTCCATCTACCCCATATCGTACTCACATGCCATCAAGTGCTTTCAACATACAGGTTTAGGGGCAACCAACTACATTGATAAATAATATAGTGTTGCTGCATACTTAAACACCTATAGTGGGCAGTTGCAACTAGTGGGTGTTGAGCATTATTGGCCACCGGAACCATTTAAAATGGTGTGTAACAAGGACTATGTACACCAACGATAAGTGGAAAAAGAACGCGTATATGGAACTAAATGGATGTTGGTGATACCGTTTATGCGCGCAAATGTGGCATATGCTCGCAAACAAGACACGATCGTCGTAAATGTCTTTCAGCTGGTTTGGGTGGCGGTGGTAATCCAGCTCCTGGTGGAAGTTCATCTAGTGTACCCAATTATCAAGGATACACGTAGTGTTTTGTTTCCGTAATGTGGTTGTAATAAGTGTATGTACTTGTTTATCTTGCAAAATGTATGAAATAAAATTATGTTTTCATTGTTGTTAAATCTTATTGATATTTAACATTAATACTTCAGTACAACAATCTAACATAAGCCCATTTAAAAAAAAATCATTGTCTTGTCAACCTGAAAAGTTGCTTGCCTGCAAAAGCTAACTTCTGAAAAAGCTGTATTGTACCCGAAAGAATCTTTAACACGCAAAGCATAAAGCGGTGAAATACTACGTTATGTATGTTGTCTTGTCGACCTGAAAAGTTGTTCGCTTGCAAAATCTAACTTCTGGAAGAGCTGTATTGTACCCGAAAGAATATTTAATACGCGTAGCATAGCACGGTGAAATACTACGTTATGTGTGTTGTCTTGTCGGCCTAAAAAGCTGCTCGCCTGCAAAAGCTATCTTCTGGAAAAAAGTGTTTTGTACCCGAAAGAATTTTTAACACGCGAAGCATAGCGCGGTGAAATATTAAGTTATGTGTGTTGTCTTGCCTATAAATAACTAGCGCATTTTAGTTATTATCCACGCTTAACCAAAACAAATAGCAAAACTTTCCATAAATTTTTCATTTTTCTTGCATTAACAAATGTCTGGACACAATGACCAACCAATGTGCTATTGTGGCAAACGTGCGATTTTGAAAGCATGTTGGTCAGATGGTAATGTTGGGCGTAGATACTGGATATGTCAACAATTGTTTGGACGCAATGACAGAAATCAATGTATGTTTGAGGAATGGTATGATGAACCCATTAACCAGGAATACTACAAATCATGTTTGTAGTATGTTTGGAATATGAACGGTGAATACCAATACCAGATCTCTGAAATGCAACGAGAAATTGCGGCAGTGCAGGAGAAACCAAAAGAGGCGGAAGAAGAAAAAAATAGGTTGGAAGAGAAATTTAAGTGGTTGGAGCAGAGAATAATAGGCGGTAGTGACTAAACAAACACATGTATGTGTTGAGTGTAGTATTTTATCTTTATGTTTTCTGTATCATGTATTTTCATTAGTTGTACTGAATTTAAATTATGTTAAGTTGTTATGTTTGTGTTTGTATTGTAGTATTAAAATAACGAAGAATCAGAGAAATAAAAACATAATGCGCATATAATGTAAACAATAAAAATTATTGTTATTATTTACTGAATGTCTTATGTACATAAAATACAAAATAATCAATGTGTCCCACATCCTGTATGCTTTAATGCAGCCATTGGCTTGCGGCGGATCCCATCCTTCCCGGCTACACTATCAGGATCATCCTCATCACGTCGCCTCTTTATCGGAGGATGCGCTGCAGCATGATCGTCAGTAGGGCTGGCAAGCTCGGTAGAAAGGGCCGTCGGTCCAGCAGTAACCTACAGAATAATAAGATAT